TGTGCGTGTTGTTTTGCTGTGTGTGTGTTGCTTTGCTGTGTGTGTTGCTTTGCTGTGTGCGTGTTGCTTTGCCGTGTGTGTATTGTTTTGCCGTGTGCGTGTTGTTTTGCCGTGTGCGTGTTGTTTTGCTGTGTGCGTGTTGTTTTGCTGTGTGCATGTTGCTTTGCTGTGTGCGTGTTGTTTTGCTGTGTGCATTTTGTTTTGCTGTGTGTGTGTGTTGTTCTGTCTTGTGTTTTTTTGGTGTCTTGTTGTCAGCTTGCTTCTCCACTTGTGCCCAGTTTGAATCCTTTCAATTCAATTCCACCAAGTTTAAATCATCAAAACTGCTCTGAATTTGTTCACAGCATTTGTTTTAATCTTTTATGAAGCAAATCAAGATGTTTTGCTCTACCTGACCTGCTTTAAATTGTTGAGTGTCAATATCTTCCGTTAATAACTGAGAATAGATGTGAGTGTAAGTGTGAATAATGGAATATAAAGGTGCCAATGTGGATAATTTCACTGTGACAATAAGCCATGAAAATAGAAGGTCTCAGATTGAGTCTGGCCAACTCTGGACTAAAATATTGTTGATACTATTCAGGTACAGCACCTGATCTCAATCAGAAATGCAGCAAAGATTTTATCTTTGACCTTCATAATTGCAAAGCAGCTGCATTGATGTCTGCAATATCAGCAATTGCAGATGCCACATGTACACTACATGTAGACAGAAACATTTCTATGGATAAGTTCAGATATGTGTACATGCATGTCCACATGACTAGACAGCCACTAATGTTAGTACTTAATGTTTTTTTAGGATAAAGAGGAGGGAGGCTGATAAACTCTTCAAATCATTTTAAAATGATGACACGTTTGCTCTGATAAACAAGTTTCTAAAGAGAGGCTTCAGTGGTGCACACACTTTATCATATAAGACAGCTTTGACCTGGTTCTCCTGAACTCAGTGCCAATTGGTTGCCTCCCACACAGACTCCTGACATAAGACATTAGCTGTACCCCATCAGCTAAAGAGAAGCAGATGCTGTGTGTTTTAAGCAGGGGATTGGTTAGGCAGGAATGAAGGAATGGTGTTTATGTGGGCGACAGTTTTACTGTTTGCAGCTTTATCCTGTCTTCATGGCTTGGAACAGAAATTGAGACACTGGGAAAGAACAAGAACAGAAGGGAAAGGAAAGAAACGCTGGGTCAGGAAGCAGGGTAAGAGAAATAAAAACAAGGTAAGAGAGTTACAACATGAGAGATATAGAAAAGATAGAAAATTTATTAAAGGGAGAAATTTATAAATGGAAGGAGAGAGTGACATAAGTATGATTGAAAAGTAAACAACAGCCGGAACCCAATAACTTCCCATAAGCAATTGTTCAAGATAAGAAAGTGACTAAGTTCCTTGATGAGGTTTCTTTCTTTTTGTACTTTGGGATTCACATTTGCTGTAGAATTCATGGTGTTGAAATCATGATTAAAGTCCCAGCCCTGCCTGATACAAAATCAGAAATTGCTGGAAAAGCTCAACAGATCTGGCAGCATCTGTGGAGAGAAATCCAAATTAACGGTTTGGGCCCAGCGACCTTTCCTCAGAACTGCTTGACACCTGATCCACAGACCCATTACTGCCTTACAATCAAATCACAGCCAAAACTGTCCCTGACATCCAATACACGGTGCCAACACTATCTTAGACCTAATTCACAGTTCCAACTCTGCCTTGCACCCAATCCACAGTCAGAATACTGCCTGGCACATCCCAAAACTGCTTGATACCCATAAGACCATAAGATATAGGAGCAGAATTAGGCCATATGGCTCACTGAGTCGATCATGGCTGATCCAAAGCTATCTGCCTCCCATTCCCGACACTATCTAACCCCCAATCCACAGTCTCAATGCTGTCTAACATAAAATCTACCATTCCCATTTCAGGTGTGTCTCCACTACACAATCCTCCTCCAGCTTTGGGCTGTTTTTTTTAACTTGACCTAAAAAGTGAAAAGCCAATGTGAAAAGCGAAACATTCCATTGAAGAGAAATGAAGGCACATAGCCTGAAATCCGAGCTGTGAATGTGTGCAGAGTTGGAGCTCGAGTCCAAGACCTATGTTGCCACAGCTGAGGGAATCGCACCTTGTGTGGAACTGTTTAAACTGTAGAAACAATCCTGAACACATGGACATCACTTGTTAAACAGCAGGAAAATTAAAGCAAGCTGTGTCACCATGGAAATATTGCTGACTGAAAATATTGTAAAATTCCCTAAGTGTATTTCAAAGCGCTTTATTAAGCATCCATCATTGTTTTTCTTCAACAAATTATTAGCATCAAATAATCTGCTTGACTCTCCACTTTTCCATGACTATTTCTTTGATGCTTATTGGTCACAGATCTGGCCCATTGCCAGCCTCATTTTCCTGAATTAGTTCAGCCCTCAATGAGTCTCTTGGGAGAGACCTAACTCCTCATCTATTCCAGTCTGATTGTTTGTACTTTTATATCTGTGAGATCTTAGTTAATGCACAGGAAAATGAACAAGCCCCCTTTGTAATTTCTAGGCAATCTTATATAAGATCTTATGTCACTGTTCAATGTTGTTAAAGCATCTTAACAGGTTTCAACTAAAGTTTAAGAGATGAAGTCAACGAACAAGTGAATATTCAAGCAGTTATGCTGTATAATTCTTCAAGTAGATGAAAAGAAGCAAAGTTTGCCACTCAGAAAACAATACAACTTTGCAAATAGCTTTTCAATGCAGGGACCTAGAAATTCAATTGTTGCCATTTTCAGCTGCTTATTCCTTCCTGCCCTCCTGTGCACCACCAGCTATCCTGAATCATAGAATCCCTACAGTGTGAGGACAGGCCCTTTGGCCCAACAAGTCCACACCGACCCTTGGAGCATCCCACCCAGACCCTTATAACCCACCTAAGCCTCACATCCCTGAAACACCTACAGGCAATTTAGCATGGCCGTTCCACCCTAACCTGCACATCTTTGGACTGTGGGTGGAAACCAGAGACCCAGAGGAAACCCACGCAGACACAGAGAGAATGCGCAGACTCCACACAGTCACCCGAGGGTGGATTTGAACCCAGGTCCCTGGTGCTGTGAGGCAGCAGTGCTAACCACTGAACCACTGTGCCACCTTCTTGTACATTTCAGATGTTGAACACACAACTCCCTACCCCTGTCACTTGAGCAAACTAAAGCCAAAATAATTTGCTGAAAATTCAATAATGGGATTTTGGTATTTATTGCCCATCCCTTCATTCATTCATTTCAAGAGGGCTAGAATAAAAGAACAGACATGTTCTACTGAGTCTGTACAAGGCTCTGGTCAGTTCACATTTGGAATATTGTGAGCAGTTTTGGGCCCCGTATCTAAGGAAGGATGTGCTGGCCTTGCAGGCAGCCCAGAGGAGGTTTACAAGAATGATCCTGGGGATGGAGGGCTTGTTATATGAGGAGCGGTTGAGGACTCTGGGTCTGTACTTGATGGGGCTTAGAACGATGAGGCAGGAACTCATTGAAACTTACAGAATACTGAGAGGCCTGGATAGAATGGACATGGAGAAGATGTTTCCCTAATAGGAGAGATTAGGACACAAGCACACATCCTCAGAGTGAAGGAATAACTCTTTAGAACTGAAATGAGGAGGAATTTCTTCAGCCAGAGGGTGGTGAATCTGTGGAACTCATCTCCACAGAAGGCTTTGGAGGCTAAGAGATAGATAAGTTCCTGTTTAGTAAGGGGTTATGGGGAGAAGGCAGGGGAATTGGGGTGAGAAGCACATCAGCCATGATCAAATGGTAGAGCAGACAAAATGGGCTGAATGGCCTAATTCTGCTCCTATATTATGTAGTCTTATAGTCCTATTTGCCCTTAAGAATGTGATGTTACTGTGCCTTCTTGAAGCTCTGCAGCCCTTGGAGTGTAGGGAGACCCACAATGCTGTTAGCGAAAAAGTTCTAGGATTTTGATGCAGTGACTGTGCAGTGACGTCTCAGAGCACATGGATATGATTATTGAACATGAACCTGGCTCTGTTTGCAGAGCTGCTGAGATTGTGGTCAGGGGTCAAACAAAGGCAGAGTAGGAGTACAACCTGCACCTAATGATGGCAGCAATGAAGCAACATGCATTGGCATTGAACAGCATGAAATGCCAGATCAACATTAGCCAGATGAACGTTTTTGGATCAACTTACTCTGTCCAGGGATTGGTGCTGGGACCCCAGCTATTCACAATATATATTAATGATTTGAATGAGAGAACAAAATGAAACATATCCAAGTTTGTAGATGATACTACGTTGAGTGGGAGGGTGAACTGTGACGAGGATGCAGAGATCCTTCAGCATGATCTTGACAGGTTGGGTGAGTGGGAAAATCAATGGCAGATGCAGTATAATATGGATAAATGTGAGGTTATTCCCTTTGGAAGCAAAAACAAGAAGGCAGATTACTACCTGAATGGCTGTAAATTGGGAGCGAGGAATGTGCAGCAGGACCTGGGTGTGCTTGTGCACCAGTCGCTGAAGGTAAACATGCAGATGCAGCAGGCGGTAAAGAAGGCAATGGTATGTTGGCCTTCATTGTGAGAGGTTTCGAGTACAAGAGCAGGGATATGTTGGTGCAGTTATACAGGGCCTTGGTGAGGCCACACCTAGAATATTGTGCGCAGTTTTGGTCTCCTTTTTCTGAGGAAGGATGCTCTTGCTCTTGAGGGAGTGCAGCAAAGGTTTACCAGGCTGATTCCAGCGATGGCGGGTCTGACG